ACACACACACACAAGCGTTTGCAGATCTGGGCCAATGAGTGGGTGCCGGTCCATCGCATTGCGTCATGCGGATTGACTGCTCGCGTTGCGGCGTCCCACCGGTGTCTGTCGCGGGGCGAAGCGCGCCTTCTCGGCGGCCGTGCCCTTTGCCCTCACCAAAACGGCGGCAGCGGGAATTCAACGAGCCGGTGCGCGCCAACCGCCCCTCACGCACCGCGCGCTGTTCCCTGCCGCCGGCCCTCCTTTCGCAGAGGGGAGGCCCATCTTTTGGGGGCAGGGGGTTGTCCCAGAAGGCTTCCTCCGCCTCCTTTTGCGGCCCAAGCTTGGCCCCGTAAGAGCGTTTCATCACCGCGTGAGAGGAGGCGGGCCCTCCACACCACCGGCCGGCACATCGCAATAGGAGCGCTCCGCCCCTCGCCTCTGGCCCTGCGTTTCTTCCTTCGTCCCGTGGTGCGCTTATACGCAGGCAAAGGTCCTTTCCTCGCCAAAACCCTGCACCCGCAGCACCCAGCAAGAGGCCGCCGGGGAATGCCCTTGGTTGGGAAGGTGCAGTGGCCGGCCGGCATGCGGTCTCTGGCTCGGGTCCGCGCCAAAGGCGGTGGCTCCGAGCACCCCACCGGCGCGTAGCGTCGCGGTGGCAAGCCAAGGAGCGCGTCGCAGCCGCCCGCATCCGCGCAAAGCCCCCGCCCAGAAAAAGGACAATGCGGCTTCTTCCTCTTGTACAAGGCGAGTGGAACCCATGCGCGCGGCCGCTCATTCGACCGTTGTGGTGGGGCGGTGGGCGGCTGGCCTGGGCCGACGCACCCAGACGGGGTGTCGGGCCTACGTGGCCGCGCCGGTACCCCGTGGATCCGCGGGCTCTGCGCGGTCGTGGCCTTCCTCGCCGCCGCAAACTTAGCAACACGGCCCTGAGTCGGGGGCGAGCACTGTGAGAAAACCTGTGCGCAGGCCGGTGAGGAGGCAGAGGGCATCCGCTACTATTCAGACCCCACACTGTGCAAAGTGCGTTGGCGGGGTAGCGCTGCATGGCTCGTTGGGGCCGAGGTCTGCCTGCTGCTCCGTAGCTGCGCGGCCTCAGCCCCGCTCCGGCAGGAACAGACTCCACGGAAATTCCGCGGCGATCGCGCACGCCTTGAGTTGCACGGGGTCATGTGCGGAGCAAGACGCCGGGGAGGCGCCCCTATGCCACTTGCTCAATGCTCTGCGTGGCCTTCAAATGGGGCAGGACAGAACCCGCGCAGGGCATCCCACCAACACCCCCATGCGCACAACGGAATTGCGGCCCACCGAAGTAAGCGGTGACCTGCTGCCCGACGCAGGCGGACGGCATGAGCGCTACTCGTGCCACGCCAGTTTCGCAGCGTGGTAGCCAACAAAATGGAGAAACATGCCATAGAAATTTCGGCGCAGCAGTTCGTCACGGGCAGAACTCCGCGGCATTCCACCGCCTGCACGGAGGCGCCTTCCTCCACCTTCGCCGACACTCACTGATCACCACACACAAAAAAAAAAAGGCACAACACAAAAAAGTAGCGTGGTCCACCGCATACAAAGTAGCGGCGCCGCAAGCGCAAAGAAAGAAGCGTCCACCACCACAACCCAGCGCACAGGGCGTAAACAAAGAGCTCAACTAAACAAAAAAAATACTTACAACAAACATAAAACGACAAAACCGTTCGAACCCTTCCAACGCGGTGCACACGACACGAGGCACACGCTGCCCCCGCCTTCGCCAGCCCCTTCAGCGGCCGGTACGTGTGCGTCGCACTGCCGCGGCGCAGCCGTCATGCGGTCAGTGTCGTCAGTCAGCTCCCCGCTCCTGTCGGGCACCAACTGCAGCTACTGGTCCGCCTGCCGCGCGTCTTGTCTGCCCCGCCCTCTTGCACTTTCGCCACAACCACACTGCAGCAACGCACCACGCCACGACGTGAGCTCCACGCCCAACACCACGCGACAAACAAAATAACAACCGGGCACACTCCGGAAATGCCGCGCTCCCGCCGCAACGTGTGCCGCGGCGCGGCACCGCGCCTCTGCAGAGCAAACCGCGCGGTGGACTTCCGGAGTGCGGCTCCAACGACGGCAAAGAAGCCTCGTTCACACGCCAAGA